GTGTGATTGCAGGGGCCAACATGTTGGAATTGATATTGATGCTCTGAAGATGCGTGTTGAATCTAACCCAAGGCAACACACTTGTGAAATGGCCCTGAAATTACATGTCTCTCACAAAACAATACGTAAACATCAAAGGAATATGAGAAAACTCCATAAAGAAGGAGCTTGGGTGCCTCACAAACTCTCCAATGACCATTGTTTCCAATGTGTGAATGTTGCCTCATCTCTTCTGGCACGTAAACCATTTTTGAAGAGAATTGTCACAGGTGATAAAAAATGGATTCTCTAAGCGAATATTAAACGCTAAAAACAATGGCTCAGTCCTAGACAAAACCACTTCGACCCAAAAACCTGTACTCCATCTGCAGAAAGTGAAGCTTTGCATTTGGTTTTGGTGGGACATCAAAGGAGTAATTCATTTCAAACTCCTCAATCCATGCATACTATCCATCTGGACTATCAATGCAGAGATATATAGTCAGCAACTGGAATATTTAAATCAAGCCCTTCACTCATCAATTAGAAAGGTGTTCTCCATGACAATGCACATCCATATGTGGCATGTTTGATGCAACACAAGATTATGGAGTTGGGTTAGGAAGTTCTCCTCCACCCACCATATTCTACAGATATGGCACCATCAGATTACCATCTTTTTCGTTCACTGCAACACCATCTTAATGGGAAAAGGTATGTAAATGTGGAAGGTGTTAAAGAGGACATTTATATGTTTTTTACTTCATAGCCAGGTGATTTCTTTAATCAGGGCATTAACAACCCAATTGTAAGATGGAAAAGCATCATCCATAAGAATAGACTATTTCATTTAATAAATATTTTGATATATAAGTTGTTTGGGTTTTTTCCATCTAAAAAAAAACAACATTAATTTCTTGATGACCTAATATTAGGTATTTTATTTATTTCTGTTGTAGGCCTATTTCTGGGAACTGTGATTGCATTATGTGGGAACAAAAATAATGTTCCAATGGTTTCTTTTGTTAAGTATTTTTTTATTATTCAGTAAACAGAAGAATGAAAAACCCAGTCCATTTAATCATAATGAAATTGTTTTATTTCACTACAAATTCTACAAGTTAGCTTAAATAATGTTCACTAATAATCCCATGTTCATAGTAGACACTGAAAATTCATCATCTAGCTATACTATTTTTATATCTAAGAATATTTCAATTTTTGCCCAATAATAACTTCTTGTAACCTAATTCCATGCTACAAAGATCTTAATCACTTCAATACTTTGAAAGTAATCATATACAGAAGCATTAACTTACTTTTTGGTTATGACAAATGAACTTATGCTGTATGTATATGGATTACTAGTGTCTTTCACACATACATATTTCGATCTGTATATGTAGTTTTAACAGTAGAACATTGACCAAGGAATATAGTTACCTAATATTCAGGGTCATTCTCCTATAATACCACATACACTTTCTTGTGGAACAGATTGCTGTCAAGTAGGATACATTATGATAAAGGCAGGCTGCAGTCTTTTCTACTGACAGGTTAGATGATACCAGAAACACACACATCCTCCTTTGTTCTTCTATGGGAATGACCATCTTTGATTTGGATGATATATATGTATTATTATACTATCTCAGTTTGGGACAGACTCTCAGAGAGAGAGAAAGATCTGTAACAAGATCAACCACTACACTAAGGCTCTCCAATAAAATGTTGTCCAGTGGACTTGTGGCTGTGATTATGTTTTCTAGTGATAAAGACCGATTTTCATTTTGTTTACTATGTTGTCTTTTTCTCAATTAAATTCAAAGGCAATTTACTCTGCAGTACACTTCCTGAATGAATCTCCTGTTACCTGTGTGATCTATCTGAAAGGTGTGTTTAGGATTACCACACTCATTTATATGAGTAATATTTTAATGTTTAATAAGAACTTAAGCTAAGGTGAATGATTAGTTATTCCATACAGTGTTAAAAAATACCAACAAGTAGATCACTTACTGAGCTAGGCAATGATGATACCTCTTTGAAGACTTCAAAGCAGCATGTATAAGAAGCAGGTTAAATACATCCCGCTAGCAAAATATACAAATATGAAAATATCACTACAAAGTGAGTTTTTTATTTGAAATGTGAAAAATTACCAATATGTCAAACAACAAAAATGCAACTTTAAAAAAGTTTTCTAAATTTTATTACAGTAAGCAGTTATCTTTTTAACATCTATTTACACAATGCACTAATTTCATAGATTTTTTTTAGAAAGGACTTTTACTATCTTTGCTTAAAGAGGAAGATGTTAGTTTGAGCAAAGTATTTTTCATTTGAGGCATTATGGGAATTATTGTAATTCATGTATCCTTTTTGGGTCAATAATTGTGACATAAGCAAGTTTCAGTTGCTGGATAAGAGGAGACAATGAAACATCTTTTAATTGTTCATTCACTTCCAGTATACTTGTGGCCATCCTTTTAAAGGGATGAGTGCAAAACTGAGGAAAGTATTACTCATTTAAGGCATTATGGGGAATGTTTTGACTCTTTCACTACAGGCTCAGTCAATTCGACCTAAATCTCAACCTTTAGAGTTTCTATACTATAACTTTTAATATGTTTTGTGTATCTTCACAAAATTTTGCAAATTCTCACTAAGAATTACAAGTCTTTTATAGACAAAAAAATCAGAATTTTTAATGAAGTATTTTCAATAAAACGTTGTCCATGAATATATGAAATCAAAGTGTTGACTGCTCCAAGTGCAAAATGATTTTCATCTTAAGATTAAAAATACTTTTCTTCATCTCAAAATTGTCAAATTTCATTTGAATAATTTGTAAAACCTCCTAAATAAATGACAAACATTTTTTTTTCAGTAAAACTTTTTACTTTATCTATTAGGGTAGAGAAAATAACAGATAAAATATAAAGGTTGGTTAATTTGTCTGACCTGGTAACCACCAGGAAAAAATCTCCCTAAAACATTCTTTTTCTTTCTAGAATGACTTGTTTATTCTAAATAGCTTAAAGCTAGTAATAGTATACATCTGTTTCTACTTAAGTTTTATTGCCCATTGAACCCTTTCTAACTAATAATCCCACCACACATGTTGTAATTCACGCAATGAACATGTAGTCCATATTACCCTATCAAATTATGTATAGCCTGAGTAATAACAATATTATAATGAGTAATTAAAGTTAAATTCTGTATTTCTCAGAGGGGTGGTACATAAATTAGAGAAAAGTGAATACCTAGAAAGCAAATTCTCATACTAGGGTGACATAATGGATTTTTTAAAAAATATTTCCTTATAAAATTAAGAACTGAAAACTTATATTAACTTTTGATTTATTAACTACTTTTTTATGCCAAGTTTATACCATGATAATACAGTAGTTCAATTAAATATTGGATGTAACTCTTAAAAAGTTGTGACATGCACACTCTGACCTGCTCATAGCAAAAGGATTAATACACTTCCTTGCAATTTCATGCATTCATTGAGGCCACTGACTATTTCATAGGTAAGCATTAAATCCTGGAATATTTTATGTCAGTTGTAACATAATCTTTTCCTCTTAATACCAATGTCAACTAAACTGTACATGGGCAAATATTACTGTGTGTGAATTTAAGCTAAATTAAATCAAGAAAACAAATCAACCTGAGCATTACTTCCACCAATTTGAACAATCTCGTATCGTACAGGGTAGAGGATAGAAACTACATCTTCATATCTCTCTTCATCATATGCTAGAAGAGCTTGGATAATTTTACTTCCTACTTTAGCAGTAACTTCAGGGTTGGTCCCCTTACTTTCTCTGCAGAAATAAAATAAATTTTCAAACACTCAATCAAGTTTTGTTTCAAATAAAACATTTTTTTAAAGAAGTAATTATTATGAAACAGAAATTTAAATGTTATAATTTTTCTAAATGAAAATGTATTTCCAATAGGTACTTCCCTCTTCTCACAAGATTAGCTTTACTCGTTTTGTGCTGCCCTCTATATGCATATTTTTTCAGAAATGTATGCCACAAGCCTTCATCCTTCTTCTATTGGAATCCAAAGTTCCCACAAGGCTCATGCATCAATAGGAGAGCACTACTATCACGTGACATATGTTACTCCCTCTCACGCCACTACCGAACAATCACTTCAAAATTTGGTAGAAGATGCAAGCACTGGAAGATTTTGGGGAAGACAGGTGGGAAGTAGGAGTGGAGAAAAATACCCATCAGAAATACATTTTCATTTTAGAATATTTATAACTTCTGATAAGGAATTCTCCCTCCGCTCACAAGATTAGCTCAAATCCCACATTGAAATGGAGGAGGGACTAGTACAAGAGAACCACAGGCTTATCTCCTGGAAGCATCCAGAGGACATCCCCATAATGAGAGGAACAGATCAGATGATCTGAGGAGGGGTACCACACCACATCTGAGCCAGGTATCTCTTCACCAGGAACATCAACATGATCAGGAGGACCAGACATGGTGGAACATTAAAGGGAGCACATTCATGTGCAAGAGGATAGTTTGGCAATGTGATCTTAAACAGAAATCAGAATCACTCAATCCCACAATGGAAAGTGGGCAAGTGAGGATGTGTCCCATTGTGTAGAGTGGCTACGGTGCGATGGACCATACTTGGTAAGTTCAACTACATCCAAAACCTCACTCGCTGGGTACCAACATTCTCGTGAGGGTATGGTGAGGATTATACCATCTTCACCTCAAGTCACAGAGTCAAGAGGGAACCTAACATTCGACTCCGTGGTCAACTACCCCAGCAACTTGAAACTGGTAAGTGGTAAGGACTCCTGCACTCCACTGGAAGAAAAGGAAAAAAGTGTGGTGGAGAGTCCGGAGGGACTGCAACACCCGAGACAGTGCAATGGGTGATCACAAAACCCTATTTTGAAAAGCAGACCACACCAATATATTCAATCTAGGTATGGGAGGGATGGAATGGGCAGCATTCCCCTTCTGCTTTACCCAAGCCATTCATGGGTGGTATGGTCTGGGATAGGTATATTATGATGCAATTATCACAAAGAATTTACACTCTTGTAAAACACCTCATCTCAAGGGTGAGCATACATAGCTATGGAAAATGTATAAGAATCAGCATGGCTTACAGTGTAGATTTGATATCAAGATATCTGCAAATGGTTATAGCCATCTAAGTGGAACCCATTCTGAGTGCAGACAGAACACCTGGTCAGGCACCACTTGCCACAAAGAGGGGTCCAATGTAAAGCTGAAGCAGGGGTCCTTGATAGAAAAAAAAATTATTGAGGGCTTACCTCATGTCACAGCAATGCCGAAGTCTGTAGAAAAGCTAAAAGTAGCAGGCGATACCCTGAGGAAGCAGAAACAGTAATGTAGTATAAGTAGTGGGAGATGAACGCATCAGGAGTTACCCACATGACCAATTGTAGAATCTCTTCGAATGGCCGACAATGACAAGAGGCAAGGAAAAAGGTAAAATGATGGATTTGATGTGAGGAAACGTGAAATAGATCATGCTGGGAAGGAGACAAGGAAGAATAGGCCAACTGGATCAAACCTCAAACTTAATTGGGCAGAGTTGCCGGGAAAAGATCACGGGAAGATTGTCAAGGGATAAAAAGGTGGGAACGAGGACCCTGGAAGGAAGCTGTGCAAGCAATAGAGCAATGGAGGGCATGGACAGAAGTCTATTCAGATCAGGACGAGGGTAGAGATGAGATATAGAGGGATAGGCAGATAGAGGGAAAAGAGGAGTTACCTTATCGAGCTGCAGAGGTCTTTGGAAGGAAAGCCCGATAAATATAAAGGAAAAGGTAGAATGAGTGGTACAAGGTCCTGGTAATATCCAGGGGAAAAATATCCAACCTACAATGCCCGCAGACCAGAAAGAGGAGGAAATATGCCTTCAAAGAGAGGTGAAGTAGGGAAAACATAGACAGAAGATTGAATGGAGGTAAGGTGAGGGCATGAAGGACCACCTAAAATGTCCCAGTCCTAGAACAATGAATGCCTTGGTGGCTGATGGAGATGGAGGGAATGGATCAACAGGGAAAAGACAGGGGGAAGTAAAGACCTTGCAAAAGTGGGAAAAATGGAATGTATGGGATAACACTGCCCAAAACCCCGAAATTTAAAGACTGAAAAACCCCTCTAAAAGAGCCACTAAAAGGTAGAATGAGTAGTACAAGGTCCTGGTAATATTCAGGGGAAAAATATCCAACCTACAATGCCCTCAGACCAAAAAAAGGAGGAAATATGCCTTCAAAGAGACGTGAAACAGGGAAAACATAGACAGAAGATTGAATGGAGGTAAGGTGAGGGCATGACGGATCACATTAATGTCCCAGTCCTGGAACAATGAACGCCTTGGTGGCCGATGGAGAAGGAAGGAATGGATCAGACTGAAAAACCCCTCTAAAAGGGCCATGTGAGAAACTCGGAGATACAGGCAACAGTTGGGTGACAAGCTTTGAAACCCCGAGTCAATGATGCCCAGGAGTGATAAATGCTCCATTTGCATTGATTTATATATGGCCAAAGAAGAAGGGCAAATGGAACAAGCTAAATGTCAAGTTACTCTGCGAGAAAAACTGGAACTCCTTGCCAAACAATGACAAAAGCCAGGCATGAAGACAGAGGAAGGACAGCATGAGATGGAGTGCCAGTGACTGGAGTTGACAGAGCAGGTCAGGATGAAAGGGGAGGGACCACCTACAGTTGGAGAAACTGAGGAAATCAAGGTTGAGCAGGCCAGTAAGGAGCAATCAGAGGGACTGTGCATGGAGTGGCAAGGATGAGGGACACCATCCAATGAAGCAAATAGATGGGAGGGTAAACATAAAGGAACAGATGAGACCAATCCTGGCTAAAAGCATTGAGAGCCAAGGCTCAAGGATGGGAAACCAGGGTAATTTGTGACTGAGAGAAGTAGAACAAGCATCGATATGGGGAGTGCCTGGCTAAAGATAGGATACAGAGACCATGTATGTGACATGCCACCAAAAGAATGTAATGTTTGTGGAACCAAACATAGGGATCTGGACCTGGTGCCACCTTGGTGATTGATACAAGCCACCACGGTAGAATTGTTGGAATTGATCAAACAATAAGCAAGGGTAGACTGATAGGAAGTCCAGGGAGGAGGAGGCATGCTAATGTCCTCCCTAGTTGAGAGGCACATTGATCTGTGTGAAGCCTAATATTGGGGGATGGGGGAAGACTAAATAGGGTCGGGAAGTTCATGTAAGAGGGAAGGTTTAGGGTCATAGGGAACAGGTGTAAGAGACAAAACATCACATACCTGAGAGATAAAGTTGGAAAAGACCAATGATGAACGAGCTGAATCATCAGGTAGTGAATGGGAAGGTGCAGCAAACTCCAGGTGGGGAAACAAATGATCAAACTCATCTACAGTCTGGCCTGGCCCGAAAGGCTCAGGAGTAACTGGGACAAAAGTAGGCGAGAGAGGTTGGCTCATATACTGCTCAATCTCCTGATGAATAAGTAAGGATATATCTCCAACGTGTCGCCTATGCCCGTGGATAAAAATACAGCATCAGAAACTGGCGAAGCACCCTACGTGGTGACTGTAACTTCAGAATTCATAAGCAAGAAACACGAGGAAGTAATGCTTTATTAAAATATTAGGTTGTCAAGAAATTATTGTCACGGCTTTGGAACAATTTCACTAACCACCCCCCAAAAAACGTACAACACATATAATAGTTAAACAAACCATCTAAACGTCACATTAGTGTAGCCTATATAATGTGCAAAGTTTAGTATGCTCTAATCCATTATAGTGATGGCCCACAATGTGACAAATGTTCGACATGTAATATTGTTTGAATACAAGGAGGGAACAATGCCTCTGTAGCCACAAAGAATATCAAAGAGGTTTATGAAAATGTTTTGAATATTCGTAAGTGTCAAATATGGTTCATCAGATTTCGTTCAGGTGATTTTAGCCTAAATAACTGTGATGGCAGGGCCGACATGTTAGAATTGATATTGATGTTATGAAGACATTGTTCAGTTTAACCCAAGGCAACACACTCGTGAAATGGCCTAGAAATTGCATGTCTCTTCTGGCACGTGAACCAATTTTGGATAGAATTGTCACCGGTGATGAAAAATGGATTTTCTATGTGAATATTAAATGCCAAAAACAATGGTTCAGTTCCCAAAACCTGGATTCCATCCACAGAAAGTGATGCTTTGCATTTGGTGGGACATCAAAGGAGTAATCAATTTCGAACTCCTCAATCCACAGTGAACTGTCAATGCAAAGATCCATAGTCAACAGCTGGAACATTTAAATCAAGCCCTTCAACAGAAACGCCCTTCACTCATCAATCAGAAAGGTGTTCTTCTCCACGACAATGCACGTCCACATGTGGCACGTTTGACGCAACACAAGATTATGGAGTTGGGTTGGGAAGTTCTCCCCCACCACCATATTGTCCAGATATGGCACCATCAGATTATTATCTTTTTCATTCGCTGTAACACCAGCTAAATGGAAAAAGCGTATGCAAATGTGGAAGGTGTTAAAGAGGACATTGACATGTTTTTTGCTTCAAAGCCAAATGATTTCTTTAATCAGGGCATTAACAACCTGATTGTAAGATGGAAAAGCATCATCGATAAGAATGGAGACTATTTCATTTAATAAATGTTTTGTTTGATATATAAGTTGTTTTGGTTTTTTCATGTAAAAAAAGCGACAATAATTTCTTGATGATCTAATATTAACTCCACAAGTATGAACTGTTGGAAATAAAGTTATAAAAATAAATTATAAAAAATGAAAAAAAAAATAACCACTTCAAGGTAACTGAGTAATGTAAAAAAGAACATCTGAACTCGACAGAAACAAGAAGAACGAGAAGAGAAATTACAACAGTTGTTAGAGGAAAAAGAAAAGAAGAAAGAACAACAAGAAGAGAAATTACAACAGTTGTTAGAGGAAAAAGAAAAGAAACAAGAAGAACGAGAGGAGAGATTACAGCAGTTGTTGGAGGAAAAAGAAAAGAAACAAGAAGAGAGACAACAGCAGTGATAGTAGTGCTCTCCTATTGGCAGAGAGGTGATGCACAATGATTTGCATGAGAGACATGTTGGAACTTTGGATTCCAACAGAGAGAGGATGAAGGCTTGTGGCATGCATTTCTGAAAAAAGTTTGCATATAGAGAGCAGCACCAAACAAGAAATGCTTATCAGAATTTACCAAATATTTTTAGTTAATAATAAGTAATCAAAAGATAAAAAACTACAGGGACAAAAATACTGTTGCGTCAGCGAGGTCACGTGACTAGTATCACGCCACTTCTTGGACAACAGAACAAATGACGCTGCTGAAGACATGCCACCTGAAGAAGCCACTGTCAAAAAAGAAACTACTACTCAGTTTGTAGAAGGGAAACGGTGAAGCTCTTGATGAGTTACTACCACTGATGTGACTATTATCGATG